GTTCAGAAATTATAAAACGACTGAGTTGGCAGGGTGGGCATAGATATGCACAGTTAATTAGGTTTTTCTTCAAAAGGAATTAGACAGTATAATAATGTGTCCAGAGACCCATGGGAGCTATAATTTCTCATCATGGTGAATAGGACTAGGAGAAAATGGGCCTGGTATTGCAAACTAAGCAAAGTTTGGGATATTTTCATTGTTGTCTTTTTAGTGCACAGGGATGGAGGAGATTTTTATAGCACAGTGTTTGGCAGAGGTCACTTGTTCCTGGTCCTAAAATTTGGTCCTAAAATAAAAAAATGCCCCAATGTACAGGTGAAACTCAGAAAATTAGAATATTGTGGAAAAGTTCATTTATTTCAGTAATTCAGCTTAAAAGGTGAAACTAATATATGAGATAGACTCATGACATGCAAAGCGAGATATGTCAAGCCTTTATTTGTTATAATTGTGATGATCATGGCGTACAGCTGATGAAAACCCCACATTAGCAATCTCAGAAAATTAGAATATTAAATGAAATCAGCAAAACAAGGACTGCAAATAGAGCAATATTGGACCTCTGAGAAGTAGAAGCATGCATATGTACCCAGTACTTGGTTTGGGCCCCTTTTGCATCAATTACTGCCTCAATGCAGCATGGCATGGATGCTATCAGCCTGTGGCACTGCTGAGGTGTTATGGAAGACCAGGAAGCTTCAATAGCAGCCTTCAGCTCTTCTGCATTGCTCAGTCTCATGTCTCTCATCTTTCTCTTGGCAATGCCCCATAGATTCTCTATGGGGTTCAGGTCAGGCGAGTTTGCTGGCCAATCAAGCACAGTTATCCCATGGGCACTGAACCAGGTTTTGGTACTTTTGGCAGTGTGGGCAGGTGCCAAAGTCCTGCTGGAAAATGAAGTCAGCATCCCCATAAAGCTTGTCTGTGGAAGGAAGCATGAAATGCTCCAAAACCTCCTGGTAGACGGCTGTGTTGACCCTGGACTTAATGAAGCACAGTAGACCAACAACAGCTGATGACATGGCTCCCCAAATCTCTTTTCCGATGAGAGCAGCTTTTGCATCTCATTTGGAAACCAAGGACCCAGAGTCTGGAGGAAGAATGGGGAGGCACACAATGCCAGATGCTTGAAGTCCAATGTGAAGTTTCCACAGTCTGTGTCGATTTGGGGTATGGACAGCCCCTGCAAGCATGGCCAATGGTCAGGGTTGATGGGAGTTGCAGTTAAGCAACATCTGGAGGGCCAAAGGTTCCTCACACCTGTTGTAGTCCAAAAACACGTGGAGAACATCAAGTTGGGGAAGGGCACTAGGACTGGGCAGATCTAGGATCAAGCCAACATTGAAGCTCAGAGTAACCTTGAACCATTCCCTGACTCTAAGTCTAATCTGCTTCACAGGGATATTGTGAAGATAAAATGAATAAGGAGAGGAATGGTGAGATAAAAAAACCATGTAATAAATGTAGACAGATGATATGAAAGGGTTTTTGTGGGTTTTGATCTGTGATCTCTGTTCTGCATAAGTAAGCTACTGCATGAATATGTACACATGAACTCCTCACAAACACTCTTCTGATGCAATCATTACTTGATGCAGTGTTTATCTAATTAAAAGCACCATTTTTTAGTGGTGTGAGACTCTTTTTGTTGGTTTCCTGTATCAGCAACCATTCTTATAATTAAAGTGACAGGTTCTGAACTAGTATGTCAAAACAGCACAGTTAAGACAGCAAAACTCTGGAATGATCATCTTCAATCAGCTGCAAGTGACTCATGTTTAACTTGGTTGACGTAAAGTCTCAAAGATCTAGCTGCTAAGGCAGATATTGAGCTTTCTCAAATGCTGAGTTGATCTGACAATGTCTTGTTTTGTTTGATAGAAGTGTGCTAGGAACTTCTTGGCGTGTGCTCTAACTTCCATGCTAGTGGCAGATTAAGAATTCTCAGGGTTCTGCTCTCAAAGAACGTTATGGGAGCTGTCATGCACATACGCAGTGGAGACTTGCCCATTAGGGTTAATGGGGCACTGTCCCACCAACCTCAGTCTGTTGTCAGCCAATCCCCACCTGCTTGCCTTCTTACAGTCCAGGTGATGGGCCTGGCTATCAGCTTCCTCCTCCGCAAAACCCTGCCGGGAACAATGCTAGGGTTAGCCAGCATCTCTTCTTCTTCTTCTTCTTCTTCTTCTTCTTCTTCTTCTTCTTCTTCTTCTTCTTCTTCTTCCTCTTCCTCTCTTCCTCTCTTCCTCTCTCTCTCTCTCTCTGATTGGCTCAGGCTCAGCCACTCAACCAGTCCCAATGGGCACCAGCCACAATTGCACATAAATAAAAAGCTGCACATGTTTGTATGTGTGTAACTTTTAAAGTCACAATCATATGCATTTCACAACGCTATATTTATTGCATCACAAGAAACAGATTTTTTTATTTAAAAACTATTAGACTATTGGAGAAATTTGGTAGTATGTGTGTTCCAAATGGCATGCCATGAATCATAGCACTTGGGGTGGGAGGTCTTGCTGGCATCTTCCTATGAACACCTGGTTTCCCATGTGGGAATGGCAGCTCTGGCAGAAACACGGGTGGCAAAATGATGTTGCATATCAAATTTCTGCGCTGATTCCCTAGCTGCATCGTGGGGCTGGGCTGCAGAGATAGCTGTATGTTTTTCATACAGTGGAAGGGGAGGGAGGATTGCTTTGACTCAGGGTAGTACTGGTTTATGCTTTCATGCCTGCGAAACCCTTTGATAGTCCACATTACAGCTGTGCTTCTGTGGTAGGTCTGTTAGTCTAGAGCAGGAATAGGCAAACTTGGCTCTCCAGATGTTTTGAGACTACAATTCCCATTACTCACAAGTAAGAGACTCTGCTGTTGTATCTGGGGCAGAAGTCAGGATCTACAAATAAACTGTTGATGATCATGATGTGTTAGATGACCTGATAAGTACCCTCTTTTTAACCTAAAAAATGGAGTATGTGGAAATATTAGCAACAGCCACAAAGTTTATTATTTATTTATTTTGCTTATTTTAGGGATCACTATCCCACCCTTCAACTAGTTCTAAATGCAGCTTACAAGGAATCAAAATGGCAGGAAAAATAATATAGAACCTTCCAAGTATCTCAGTTTTTAAAAGAGTGACATAAAAGAAGAGATCAAACAAATGCAAAGCAGTATAAACAGATCACCAGAGACAAAACAAATCCAGTTAAAAAGTCTGGGAAAAATTAATAAAAGATCTTCCTCTGGCTGGTTAATGGTTGTGTTTTATATTCTTGGACTAAATTTCACTTTATCACATTTATATTATCGTTTGTGTATATTTTATTGCAGTTGGTGATGCTGTTTAGTATTAAAATATGTGCTATTCTAGAATTGATCTAAATATGGAAATGAATTAATATTGGGTAACTTATAGATATGGCCATTTTTTTTTTGAATAATTATAATTTTGTATAATTAGCATCCATCCCTGGTGATAGATATGGGTTAATTGAATGATTGTTTTCACAGATTACATTTACAGACGGAATGTAAAGCATCATCGTGTGTGCATATGAATTGGTAATTTTCTTTTCTTCCTTTTCATAAAAGGGTCAAAGTGAGTAATGTTATGGGATGAAAGCTGACTGTTGATGCCAAAGGGGCAGTGGTCCTTTAGGGGAAACAAAAACCTAGATCAGACTAACTTGAGTTTTGGCTATTTTGTAAGTGGAGATAGTGGCAGCGGCGAGAACAAGAACAAAGGTGAGGTTGTAGTCTCTGCTTGCCCCTCCAAATGCTGGGGTATCCCATTGAAGGGATCCGGGGGGAGTTGCCATGTCCTTCTGCCCAGCCAGGGGCCAGGGCCGATAGCGCACCCCCAGATGGCGGTCCCTGCGGGGGACACTATTTGATGTAAGGCTTAGGAATCTCTGCACGGATTGACCTATGGCGTCACTTCTGGCAGGCAGGCCAGAAATATTCTATTGCCCTTTGCCTAAGCCAAACCTCTTTCATCTGTATTCAGTAAAGCTGTGGCCTGTTTCAGTTCAAATCAGTCTTCGTTGTCCTTAATTCTCTGGGGGGATAGTGGACTGAGGTGCATTTCACCTGGGCCTGCAAATGGACATAGTGGTAGCAGCTGGAACAAGAACAAAGGTGAAGCTGTTCAGACTCCCTTGTTCTTTTTCCTACTGCCAGGAGGTGTAATGTTGCTACACATATAGCACTGAAATGCTTTTTGTATGCTTTTACATTTTGTATTATATTCCTGTTTTATTGCTGTTATTATGAAACTGGTTTTTTACAAGAGTTGATTTTGTGGTGTATTGCATACCCTCCAACATTTCTCCAGTGAAAATAGGGACATCCTATTCCACATAATGATAATTTTACTATTTATACCCCACACATCTTACTGGGTTGCCCCAGCCACTCTGGGCAGCTTCCAACATATATAAAAACATAATAAAACATTAAACATTCTTAAAAACTTACCTATACAGCCATACCTCATGTTACGTTTGCTTCATGTTACGTTCTTTCAGGTTACGTCCCGCGGCGACCCGGAAGTACCAGAAAGGGTTACTTCCAGGTTTCGCCACTCGCGTATGCGCAGAAGCGCAAAATGATGTCACGCGCATGCACAGAAGCGCCGAATTGCAACCTGTGTGTGCACAGACGCGCTGCTGCGGGTTGCACTCTTTTCATGTTGAGAATGGGCCTCCGGAACCAGAGGTACCACTGTACAGGATTGCCTTCAGATGGCTCTGGGGTCAGATAACTCCATACCCTCCAACATTTTCCAGTGAAAATAGGGACATCCTAAGGAAAAGTGGGACATTCCGGGATCAAATCAGAAACCAGGCCTGGGGGTTCCAGGAGCTGGCATAGGCCTTGACAGCAGCACAGTCATGCTGGTCTTTGTCTTCTAAGAGCGGACCTATAATGACGTATCTTGCAGGGATAGCTTGCAAACATGATAAAAACGGTAGAGATGAAGACTTTGAGGAAGAGGACTGTAGCTCAAAGGCAGAACATCTGCTTTGCTTACAGAAGGTCTCAGGTTCAGTCCCTGGCATCTCTAGGTGGAACAAAAAAGGTCCTCTGCATGAAACCTTGGAGGGTTGCTGCCAGTCAGTGCAGACAATATGCAGCTAGATGGGCCAATGGCCTGACTCAGTATAAGGCAGCTTCCTAGGTTATTAATTAAGAGTCAGGAAGTGGTGGCCCTCCAGATGTTGCTGGACTCCAACTCTAATCATTCCCAATGATCAGTGTCAGGGGACTGCCATCGGAACAGGGGAAGGAGGTGTCGGGAATCAAGCCTTTATCAGGAGAAACTAGCAACTCTCCAGGCACCCGGCTTGATCTCTTGTTGACCTCCCTGTCTGCATTCCCCAGCAGGATACAGGCTAGGTCGGGATAGGCGATCCTTCTCAGCGTGAGAAGAACACCCCCCCTCTTTCCTGCCCCCCTGGGCAGGGGAAAAAGATAGACAGAAACGTATTTACATCTCTTTATTTCTGTCTTTGCAGCATTACAAAAGCATGACTGCTCTCTTCAAGCTCCAGCAGTCGAGAGAGAAACACTTCCTGTATAAGAGCAAAAGGAAGAGCTCATATTACACTCTGAGCTAATTCCGGTGCATTGCCCTGTGAATTGACTGTCCCTCTGTTTCTCACGGAACAGTCCTAACATTCCATCATGTGCTGTTTTCAAGCTAGCAGCTCGCGGCTGCATTGCTTCTATATCGTAACAGGAAGCAGGGGGGCCGGTGGGATACAGAGTGCCTCCACAAATCCTGAGGAGCAGTTCCTTCTCCAGCGGTGGGGAAAGCCACACCTCCAGTGAAGGAGAGAGGGAAGGGACCAGTCCAGTGGGGAAAGGGCTCGAGGATGCTGCGGAGAGCCCCAGCGCCTCACCTCACCAGGCTGGCCAGGAGGGAGGCATGCCCCTTCCATTGCCCAGCCTGTGTAGAGGGGTGAAACCTAAGGAAGGGAGGAGGAGGCTTGGGGTGCTGAAGTTCTTACGTTGGGGGAGAAACCGGAAGGGGCCACTCCCAGATTCTGCAAGTGACTAAGACGGACATGAACTTTGTGGCTCTGTACTGTACCAAATGGGGACGCAGGTGGCGCTGTGGGTTAAACCACAGAGCCTAGGGCTTGCCGATCAGAATGTCGGCGGTTCGAATCCCCGCGACAGGGTGAGCTCCCATTGCTCGGTCCCTGCTCCTGCCAATCTAGCAGTTCGAAAGCATGCCAGTGCAAGTAGATAAATAGGTACCGCTCCGGCGGGAAGGTAAACGGCGTTTCCGTGCGCTGCTCTGGTTCGCCAGAAGCAGCTTAGTCATGCTGGCCACATGACCCGGAAGCTGTACGCCGGCTCCTTCGGCCAATAAAGCAAGATGAGCGCTGCAACCCCAGAGTCGGCCATGACTGGACCTAATGGTCAGGGGTCCCCTTTACCCTTTTACTGTACCAAATAAAACCTGTAAAAGACAGGTTGGAGTCCTGCCTGGTTACTCACGAGCAACCACCACCAGCATCTGACAATCAGGGATGATGGGAGTTGCAGACAGGCCACATCTGGAGGTCCACATGTGCCCTTCAGGCAGCTGTGGATAGTTATGCCAACTAGCAGTTTGGGAGTGAGAAGAAATCAGTAAAATTCTCTTCTCCTGAAAATGGCCAGTACATGATTATTTTTGTTTCAGTGTGTGCCTGGATATTGCTTACACTGCTACCTGCAGACTAACTTTAGTCTCATAGGGTTGAAGATCAGCTTCTTAACAATCCCCTCTTTTTTGCTTTTTAAATAAGAACAACACACAACATTGAAGGTATGGCACAGTGCAGAAGTGCGAAACGCACGACGAGTGGAACATAGCACCTTTGTCTGGGTGGGGATAGTTTGGCCGAGGCAGCTGGCCAAGAGGTGACCAAATAAAAGCAACAGTCTTGTGCAGAGTTAATAAGGGCATAAATCACATCAAAACTCATTGTGGTAGTTATCAGAAAATAAATGCAGGATTATATGGAGACAAACTGGCCAAAATATTGTGAAATTTTAGAACAAGTTGGAGATAAATTAAAATTGCAGAGCTTTGACAAATTAAAAACTAAAGTTCGAGATTGGCTGCATTATTATCAAATAAGGGAGGTTTTTAACTTAGATAAAAGATTGGTTTCCAGGAGGAAAAATCTAAACTGGAAACGGAATTGTTAGAACCTAAAACTAAAAATCTGTCAAGAATGTATAATCTGCTGTTGAAATGGAATACACAGGATGAAATGGTTAAATCTGCTATGATTAAATGGGCGCAAGATGTTGGGCATAATATTATGTTTGCTGACTGGGAACGGTTATGGACCACAGGTATGAAATTTACGGCATGTAACGCCTTAAGAGAAAATATAATGAAAATGATTTACAGGTGGTACTTAACCCCAGTCAAGCTAGCAAAAATTTATCATCTGCCTGATAATAAATGTTGGAAATGTAAAGAAAATGAAGGTACTTTCTTTCACCTTTGGTGGACGTGCCCAAAGATCAAGGCCTTCTGGGAAATGATATATAATGAACTAAAAAGGTATTGAAATATACTTTCTTGAAGAAACCAGAGGCCTTCCTCTTGGGCATGGTCGGCCAATTGGTGCGAAGGGAAGACAGGAATTTCTTTATGTATGCGACAGCAGCGGCAAGAATACTTATTGGGAAATACTGGAAGACACAAGAATTGCCTACCCAAGAAGAATGGCAGAGAAAAGTGATAGACTATATGGAACTGGCTGAGATGACCGGCAGAATTCGAGATCAAGAAGAAGGGTCGATGGAAGAAGATTGGAAAAAATTTAAAATATATCTTCAGAAATACTGTAATATAAAAGAATGTTAGAAAAGGTTGGAGAAGAATATTAGACCGTATTGGCAGACAGAGTATAATGGAATAAGTAAATATGAAGTGTAAAATAAAGATAGAGGAGAATTAAATACTTTCGAATGTTAAAATAAGTTAATGAAAAGAAGGTTAGAAGGATTTGCTGGAGATACGATTCAAAATAGAATACAAAGCAGAGAAGTGAGAGGAAGTCACGGAAATAAGTAAATGGGAAAACGGTTCTAATGGTTTAATCTGATTTTTTGTTACTTTTGTATTGTGATTTTTTTGTCTTTTGTATTTTTCTTTGTACTGTGTGTTTTTTTTTTGAAGGATGTATGTGATTTGTTTTTCTTTTTTTACTTTTTTCTTTTTCTGTAATCTTAAAATTGGAATAAATATTCTTTAAAAAAGAAAAAGAAAATAAATGCAGGATTGCAATAAGCAAGAGAGCAGAGTGCTACAGGGGATTTTACGCTGACATTTCCCTTGCAGTCTATCATTTTAAAAGCTCACAATAAAAGAGTTACACATCCACAATGCATAAAACATAACTAAAATCTTATATTTTAATGTCACTTCCAATGCTCTGTGAAATTAAAAGCAACAAAAGGCTTGAACTATGCATTTTGTTATTGGCCAATGGTATCTATCCAGTCTTTATAAGGAAGGGTAAATGAGGGCACTGAAGGGCACCATGTTGGGGACTGCTGAGTTAATGCCTATTTTCACCCTTAAAGAAGATTGAGAGAAATGACTGGAAGTGGCTCAGGGATTCAAGCATCTCCTTTGAAATATGCATACATTTTCTAGTTCTGGGGTGTGTGTGTGTGTGTGTGTGTGTGTGTGTGTGAGAGAGAGAGAGAGAGAGAGAGAGAGAGAGAGAGAGAGAGAGAGACTGACTTAGCTATCACTTTGATCTCTGCATTCAAGTACTGTCAGGGCTGCTTCAGCTATCAAATTTATTGTTAGGTATACAGTATTCTGTTTTCTCGACTCCCATCTGATGTGTTTCAAGTAGTTCAAAGGAGCATATGCCTGGCATTTCCCCTTTCCCTTCCCCAGTCCTGTATTTTCAGAACATTTACTTCTTCAAGACAGAAGAAAGGAAGTCACATGCAAAACAACTTCCAGCGTATTCTAACAATATTTCCCTGAGACATGGTTTGGATAGGGTCTTCTTTGCTGCGGTACCTCAACTCGGAAATGCCTGGTGCCAGGTGAAGGCCTTTCTATCTGTCCATTTAATGCATTCGGGTTTTTTGACACCCACCCCTTAAAGTCTGGGCTTTTATTCACTTGACTGCTTGATGTTCTGTTGTTTTACTGTATTTTTATTTATCTGATTGCTTCCTTTTTGTTATGTGTGGAAACTGCCCTGGGAGGCTTTGACCCATTAAACAGCATACAAGTAAATTTAAACCAATAAATAAAATTATCCCTCCCCCCCTTAAAGTTTTCTGTGGAAAATAAGATTGGAGTACAGGAGTGAAATATATCATTAATAAAGAGAGAGAACTTCAAATACTAAGACAAAGGTCATACTCAAGAGTAGAACCATTGGAATAAATGGATTAAGTTAGTCATGTCTAGCGATTTCATTACTATGACTTTATTGGATGTAACCCAATGTAATTTGTAGCATTTCTAGGATCACTGGATTACAGCTAAATTTATTTTTGGCTGTGTACACACTATATACTTTTAAAGCACTACCTCCCCCCCAAAAATCTGGGAAAATGTAGTTTGGTCTTCACAGAGCTATGATTCCCAACACCCCTAGCAAACTACAGTCTCCATGACTTTGTGAGGGGTTGAGGTAAAATGTGCTTTAGATGTATGGCAAGTACACAACCCTTCTCCCGAGACAGATAAAAACATCTCTCCATTATTGCTTACTGATGCTGACCCGAGAATCTAATGCCTTTCCCTACAAATTGAGTTAGGTCTTAGTACAGTGTGTGCCTGAACTTTCTCAATGTAGATTTCCCAGTTGGCTGTGAAAGTGGAATTGAAAAGTGTAGAAGAAAATAATAATGTGTACACCTTAACCACCGTAGGTTTGGAGTGCTGAATGGGCTTCTGAGTCATTCTGCTGGCTTGTCGTAGCCATCCTATTGGTGTTGCTAATTGACTAAGCAATGTGTCATATAATAGAGAACAGATGGCGAAAGGAAGGAACTGTGGGAGGAGAACTTAATTAGAGG